TGAAATTCTTTTCCTGACTTCCGAGCATATACCCTGTGAATCAAAATAAGGAAAACATTAAATAGAACTCACAAGTAACTCATCATCATTTACCCCAGAGCCACAAAGGCTCCCACCTACGTTGGGGTAAGGGGGGTCGGATGTACGTTGTCTTACCCCTGTACTAAAGCACAAAGAGGCTGTTTTCGAATGACCCATAGAGAACTCACAAGTAACCGCTTTAAAAAAAATTAAAAAATCTGATTTTTAATTGAATTCAGCATTTCAGGTCAATTCTTGGAAGCACAAGTAACTTTCAATCTGGCCAGTCAATCTAATTTTAATGGCACAAGAGCAGATCCTATATGATTGCAAGAAAGGTAAATCTCTTAACTTTTGGCTTAGTTCTTTTGTAGCAATGTAGCATACATAATACGTTTGATATTTCATAATTAACTTGTGGCAAACAGGTCTAAGGGAATCTGATAAAAAGTGTGGTATGAGATTTATGAAAAATATTCGAAGTTCTAAAATATATTTTGGATGCCAATTTATTTTAAAAGATGCTATATCAATCTCAGTGTCCCAGAGCGAATAGAAGCAATAGTGTGCCCAGAGAGAACAGAAGTAGGGAGAGGGGGGATGTGAGTTTCTTGAAACCAAAACTGTTTTTGTATGGTCAAATGATGAACATTCTTTTATTTAACATTAGAATGTGGTTAGAAGGATTATAACATGCACTGATGCACACAGTAGGATCTGTTAAATTTTATCATCTTGGCTACTTCAAATTTTAGTATCAATGATTTTCCTAAATGACATAGATGTAAGAGGTGCTTAAAATGATATTACATTTGGTTTGTAGAGTACATTTAGTGCATTGCTCAATCCCGATTAGAGCCTAATTTACCCCTTATCCCTGGTTTCATTGCTGAAATCATATCAAGGAGAACCTAAACCAAAGATTATAATAATTACGTAGTTTATGATTACATCTTGTGTTCCTCGTTTTCTTAACACACATGAAATAGACTTTGTCCCAAAATATTAACTGTTGTCCCTACGTATTGACTTTCTTTGATGATGTCCAGTCTTAAAAGTGTCAGTTTAGATAGTGCTAACAGAACCTCTATAAAGCATATCAAGTATGGTGAAGCTGGAAAACAGAACAGAAGTGTTGATGAGAAACCTAGGAGGAAAGCAGGGAACCGCATAATCATACATATTTCCAAGCTCTCCCCCACCTGAATTTATAAAATCCAGATGTTATAAAGTGCATGACTGCGTTTATCAAAACTAAATGCAAATTGGATATTGAAAAGTGCCATTGCCATTTTTGCCTCATTTATGGCAGCGTTAAGTTCTTCTCAACAAAGTAGGCGATCAAAATGTGCCTCATAGCATCTGTCCTTGTAACCATTTCTCGTGGACCTTCCCATTTTGTTGCATATAGTTTTCAGAGAAGTTGGTGCTTTTATAATCTCCATGCAGGCCAGAATAAATATTTAGGATTTATAATGATGATGACTCATGCATTAATGCATGTAAAACAATTTTTAAAGTGCAGGGAACAAAATGACATGGAGAAAGAAATATGTTCAAACTTCAAACACAAATAAGAATGTGGTTCATGAAGTAAGAGCCCAAGAATTAATGCAAAAAAAGAGACAAACTAAAGACATAACAAACTTCATGTAGTTAATTATATTTTTTGAGGTTTTGTTAATAATGCAAGGGTTCCAGTATTCCACCCTCATGAGCCTCGGATGGTCTTTTTTGCAGTTCGGATGGTAAGAGTGTTTTTATGTTAGACAATCATAAATGACTTGGAGTTAGGATAGCCAGAGGGATTTTTTATGTCCTCCTTACATTAGTTGTTTTGATTGAATGTTTTCAAATTCTCATGAGGTTTGTTATTAGTACGACTTTTTTCCCTTCAGATTGTTTTCAAATTCTGATAATGTGTTTCTTAAATGTGAAGTAATAGTGAACGGGATTTCATATTGTAGGATGAGATTACTGAGTCGTTTGACAGTGTGAGGGGCAAGGTGGTCATATTATCTATTATCATATAATAAATAAGTATAGATATACAGAATAACAAATAGAAAATCTTTTTACTTCATTTTCACATTATTCAATTCATTTTCAAGATGAGGTAGAAAAATACGCCTCAAAACTAGAAACCAATACTCTAAATCTTGAACCAGTATTATATATACCCCTTACTTTACATTTTTTTCCTATGTTGATAAAGTAAAAAGAGGAAGACGCAAAATCTATTCTAATTTACTTTAATTTGAAATAGAAAACTATGAAATAGAGAGTTATGCCAAAATAAAACTTTTTTGAAATAGAAAAGTAAAAATAGACATACTATGACCTATGACTGGAAATTCCCAGCAGTTAGCATAAAATTTGGCAAAATAGTATAAAGACATTAAAGGTTTTTGAGAATTTGACTTCAATTTGATTATCTATTATGGACAAATTATGGATAACACTGAATCGGCTCTTTTTAGGTTGCTAATGCTACAAGTCTATAAATTCATTTCGGACAATTGAACTTTTTCAAACTCGCTCTTTTTGTTTTTCAGAACCAAAAATATTTGTGCCACAAGGACACGCGCCAAAAATAACAAAAGTCCTTGGACACGTAATGGATCTTGAAGTACTATTTCCGTGTCTCCCTGACCAAATCCCCTCACATTAGGATTATTCGTTGATGGTTGATCAAATTTGATAGCTTTCCCTTCTGAAACAAGAAGTTCTGGTCCAACTAAAGAATCGTCGTATGCATAGGAACGAAGTACACATAGTGAAAGGGATATCATGCTGTAGGATGAGGTTACTGAGTCGTTTGACGATGTGAGGGGCAGGGTGGTCAACTCCCCAAGGGTGATGGGAGTGATATGACTAGGTGGAAATGGGAGCTAGGACGATCTACCCCCAAGCCCATAATAAAAAATTCAGAGCTAAACAGGTTCTCTTCTCCCTATCTATCTTATCTTACAAGCATGAATAATGTTGGGTCTTTTTTTTTGTTAAAATGCTTAAATTGATAAAATACTTGGTTCATAGGGTAATAGCAAGCCGAAGCATGATATTACATTGAAATTAAACCTACCATATTAGTCGATCTTATATGGACTTAGTTTGCTTCAAATTCCAGTTTTGAAATCTTTTGAATGACAGTAAACTTCTATTATGTGGTTTCTCTGAATTCCAATGTTGTAAATTAACTTCTAAAGATAGTATATGCAACCTGCAATTAGTGAATCTGATAGAGAAGGATTTCAGTTGGGTTCATGTATATTAACTTTTAATATACAATATCTTTTGTTGAATTTCAGTTTTAAATGTAGTTGTAACCAATAAAGACTTCAAGAGATTTAGCAATTTTTAGTGTTAGAGAAAAAGGTAATTTTTTAACTTCTTGATTAATCACAACTACTGCATTTAAAACTCAGAAAAAGTTATCTTTAGAGATTTGAGCTACATTTCCATTTTCCATTTAACACACCACTGATAGTCAACTCACTCATATTTCTATGCATCCGAGCAGTTAATAACTTCGTCTTTTTTCCTTTTTATTTTGTTTCGTTGCTTTAATATTTTAGTTGTGTTTGGCTTCTATTCAGTTATTTTTATTTGGAGATTGAATTCAAAAATTAACATTAGTTTTAGTTCTAATAATTTCTGTTATTATGTTTTGTCATTTGAGTTCGTGTATTGATTGTACAAGATTTGATAAATTACTTTGCTCCTACATTATGAGCATTTACTTGAGAAATGAGACAAGCTCAAACTTTAGCATTTACATAGTATCAGTGCTTAATCTATTTTAAAATACATGAATACATCGGTGTTAGTATTTGAGTTTATCTAGATTATGTATAGAAATTTCCAAAATATTTTTAGCGTATATATGATAGGATAAGAGTACAAATGGTGGGAAAGCCGAGTAGCTTACTAAAAATCTGAAATTATAGTTTCATCATTTATGCACATATCAGCTTACTCATATTTTTAATGGGTCACTCATTAATTAACTCTCAGGCCACAGAAGCATATACTGGAAATTTAAAATGGATATCTCTTGGTGTAGCATTTCAGCTTTTTACCTGCAAGATTATTTTTTAAAATGAATATTTCTTGGTGTAGCATCACAACGTTTTAGCAAATATCCATGAAGTTGAGCCTTAATATTTACTTTACGCCTTCAGGGTGTGACGAGGATTGTTGGGTCTAAAAATCAAGTCTCATCATTATTGGCATGACTATATCGAGCATGAAAAGATCAAATCGTAAAGCAGACAGGCCAGCCACATCCATAGGCTCAAGTCCAGCTTCAAGATAACAAACATCAGCCTCCTGGAGGATGTTTGCTGGCCCTCTCCTGCAGTTATTTCGAGATGACATTCCTATTCGAAGGCATACTATGGATGGGATGTTCTCTGAGGAGGGCATACTGGTTATGTATGGACAAGCTGCCTGGTCAAGGTTCTCTTAAATAGAAAGGACCTCGGAGGAGAATCTGGAGGCTAGCTGTACCACCTAAGGTGCAATTTTTTAATGGCGGCCAGGTCGTGACTTTTCCAAACCGGAATAACTTACGTGCTAGAGGCATTAACTGTCAAGATGTATGTGTTCGCTGCAGTGGTGGCTCTGAGAATGCTTGGCACACCTTTCTAACATGTCCAGGAAGTGTAGAGTGCTGGAATGAGCTAGGCTTGCTAGCTGAAATTGAACCAGTGATGCACACAACAGAAAACATTTAAGCATGACTTTTAGGCAATTTCTCTCCGGCTGGATTTGGGGTTTCTTTTGCTTTTGTAACTCTATCGAGAAGAGAGAGTTACATGTTAATGGGATAGTTTAATGGTCTATTCACATTATATGTTAATTGGATAGTTTAATTCCATCCCTATTAAAGATTAGAAAAATATATTTCACACATCTAACATTGGGCATTTATGCAATCGCGCAACGCGCGTGTAAAAACTAGTCTATACATACAGGTGAACACTGAAGTGAACACGCGTTGCATTGTTTAGTAGGCCTCATGAAATCCCTACTGCCAAGTGTAGCTCACAAGATAGGGAGTGCAATCAAGAGTATAGCAGAGAACAAAAGCTCGAGCTGGTGGTACACCCCTCACGCCGCCGCCGCGGCCCATGCCATTGCAGAGAGGTTACCGCTAGTCGATTTCGTTCTTGAAGTCCGGGATGCTAGGGTATGTATTATAGGCTACGAGCTTCCCTTTGTTTTCCGGGATTACTGTCAAGTGCTCGATGAAATGTTTGAATGAACTGACATGGTTAGATGCTGACAGTTTCGGTTATAAAGTTCATTTATACCAACCAATTCATGCATTCAATTCAGGTTATATAAGGACAAGTTCTTTACAATTCTCTGATATTTTAGATCATTTTCTCCTATTGCTCAGATCCCTTTGTCATCAGAATTCAAACTACTGAAAAAGCATTCAACGTCCACCAGGCGAATTATAGTTTTGAACAAAACAGATCTTGCAAGTCCCTCCCAGGTGAAGGTAATTTTAATAATTATATATTACACGGGTGTTCTAGAGCCAATTTGGTAACTCATATTCTCATTTTATCAGCTTCATTGCTCAACATTTTGATTACATAACTAACTTTTGATTTCGCATGTTGAATTGAGGAAAAAATAAAATAGGTTTTTTGACTGAAGTTACTGTGATGATCATTTTAGCCATTTTTCATATAATCTTTTCCTTCATTTTAGTAATAAAATATTTTTTAAATATGTTATTTCCATAATTCAGTAGATTGCCTGTCAATTAAGCTATTTCAGCTAGACTTTCATCAGTTTAAGCAGATCCAGCTGACCTCACTGTTACCAAACGGGCTCTTAATGATTATGTGCTACAACTATAGTTTCAGAATATATCATTTGTTTAAACCATACATGCATGTTTTAATTGTATCCTAAAGGCAATGTTCTAAAAGGCGTAAGGCGTGTCGAGGCGGCACGATCAAGCCTTGAGCCTTTGAAGCCTAGGCGAGGCATAGGCGTGAAAAGGCGTTTTGATGGAATAAAGCAAAATGACTCACTAAACTGTCTGCGCTTCTTTGTTATGAAGTAGCAGTCGGTCTATATAATTTTGACGTGATTTTCACTATGGGTCATTCAGAAACAACCTTGCATAATATTTTGTAATGCTAAATTTACATTCTAATTAATGCCTTATTTTGTACTTTAGTACGGGGGTAAGGCTGCGTACATCCGACCCCCCCTTACCTCACCATAGGTAAGGTGATGATGATGATGATGAATTTTAATTTCCCTACCGGCATTAATAAGAATGTAAATTTAGCATTACAAAATATTATGCAAGAAAACCATTACTTTCTGAATTTCCAGTAAGAGTACATTTTTAATGTTCTAAACACCATTTCTAATTGGATGTTTTTAATTGGTTTTAAATTTTATGGGCTTACTTAGTTTGATCTGAACTTGTTTGATCCGGTGCATTCTTGCATATGTTTGTTTTATATGTATTTTATCATTGTCAAAGTCTGGTATCGCTTGATCTATTTAAATCTGGTATGGTCTAGTTGGTCTAATTTGATTTATGACAAAAATCAATCCAATTAAAACATCTTTATTTTTCAAAAACTAGATTTGGAAAAGTAGTCCGGTGATCACAATGATAATAATACCAATATACTATAATAATATGAAGTCAAAATAATAATAATAATAATAATAATAATAATTACAATAATTTTAATATGAAGTACGGAGTAATATTTAGTAGCATATTTTTTTTGGATAATTTTATGTAACACTCAATGTCCTTAATGGTAGCTGGTACTTTATGTGAATGGTGGTTTATGTTGTAAGTTGTAAGCTTAATTTCAATGTCTTAATTTCACTACTAGGTTGAGAATCTTCTTAATTTTACTAGTTTAATTTTAGTAGTTACATTGTAGTTTTAAGAACCCGCCCTTCCACATTGTCTATGTAAGGCTCCTCTTTATTGTTACGGAGTATATTCATGGCTTACTGTTCAGGCTTCAGCTTGTGTGGACGTAATCAAACCGGCCTATCTCTCCTGCATGGTCAATAAGAATTGTGCCGCCTTTTAGCGTGCCTAGTAGGTATGCGAGGCGTTTTCAATACGCCTTGCGCCTAGGCCCACCTTGGTGGCGCCTTTAGGCGCCTTTTAGAACATTGCATAAAGTATCTTTTGCATCAAACTGTTAATTATTTATTTATCTATTTATTATTTATTTATTATTTATTTATTATTTATTTATTTATTTACTTATTTATTTATTTATTTATTTATTTATTTAGTTATTAAGTTATTTATTTATTTTCTGTTTCAGAAATTTCATTTCTTTTTATTTTGAGCTGATGTACACTTTTCTGCTGACTGCTCTCATTGCTTTTATGCAGCAATGGATGGATTATTTTGAAGGACAGGATGATATAGCATTTCGAGTCAATTCTCATAATAGAGATAATATAAAGGAGGTGCATAGTGATAAGTGACCACTGACCAAAGAAGCCATTTCCTGACACTATAAACTAATGGGCACTAATGTTACTGTATTGCCTACATTTTGACAGTTCTTGACATTTCTGCAAGCTAGAGTAAGAGAACTAATAAATACCGGTTATTCTCGACATACTACAACACTAATGCTTGTGGGTATTCCTAATGTTGGGAAATCTGCACTTGCGAACTCATTGCATCTGATTGGGCGAATTAATGCCGCAGGTACTCCTCCTTTTTGAGATGTCTTGCTAAAAAATAACCCCTTCTGACTTTCTAACACATATATTACTTTGATTGGAAGAGAAGGGAAGACTAAAACATGCTGCGGTAACTCCTCAGCCTGGAGAGACTAAAAACATTAGCAGTTTTAAGGTGCATGATCTTTCCCATTCTTTTGTCTAAATGGTTTATTTATTTATTTATAAGATTCATTCATCAATTTCATATTCCTAAATATCTATTGAACTGATTGGAAGTGGATGGAGTTTCATATTTTCTACTCATTTAGCTTCCAATTATGTGAAGTTGCTAAAAATCCTTGGGTCCAACTTCTTTTAATTAGTTACCTACTTAATTTTAACTAGTCATTTCTTTCTTCGATCACTCCTTGACAAGCAAGTTCATGTTGATGTCTTAAATGAGATTGCTAGCCATCCTAATATTTATGTGCTGGACACACCTGGTATTTTGCCACCTAATATCCCGGATGCTGAGCTCTGCTGCAAACTAGCTCTTACAGGTGCCCATTTTTTTTATTTTCTGAAAATGTTTGTTTCTTTACTTCTACTACTATGATAACATAAATATTACTCCCTCCGTCTCCGAAAGAAGTTCCCACTTTCCTTATTTGGATGTCCCTAATTTAAGTTCCCATTTCCTTAAAAGGAAAGTTATCTACATCAAAACAGTGTCAAACAGTGCAAAACAGTGTCAAACAGTGTCGAAACAGTGTCAAAACAGTAAAATTTACCCCTGGTAAGTTTACTTGCATAAAAGTGTGTGAAAGTCAAATGAGGAACTTCTTTCGGGGACGGAGGGAGTATGCTCTTTCCATAATGTGAAAGAGAAGGGAAAAGCATAAGTTAAAAAATATGTGTGTACTTAGCAGGGGGGCATCCTAGTGAAATTGATGAAAGGCAGTGACTATTCTTTCCATTGCTGTAACTAGTCTCTCCATGGTAGTGACCAGTTTTCAAGCAATTTCTCAGATTGGGGTTTCTCTTTCAGGTGCAATCCAAGACTGTTTAGATGGTGAAGTAGAGCTTGCTCAGTATTTTTTAGCAATCCTTACCACGAGTGATGAATTCAAGAAATGGGCAAAATTGGGTGGCATTGAGAAAGACATGTTAGTTGTAACTGCTACTGATGACGAACTTGACTTGGAGAAAACACAGAAAATGAAGCATCGTGTGACAGATCACACGCAGGTATGGTATCGTTTTAGCTACTAATCCTTAGAAGGTGTTTGGTCAGGTTTTCCCGGATAACCTTAATTATTGGAAGGTAATTTAATCTAAAAAGAGAAGAATGTGAATGTAAGATTGCCCAATGTTTTCTGTTGAAGGTTATGCCTTCGAGTGTGTTAGTTGAATTCTAATAATATACTTATACAATTATGAATATTAAGAATATATAACACAGATACAGACGCACACAATTTATTTATTTATTTAACTACTGAAATGTTTGTACATTTATTTATATTTATTTTATACTCATATAATTAAATTACAAGTTTTTAAACTACGATAGAATTAATATTGGTAGGAAATCTGGAAATTGATTGAATATAACAGAAATTTCTGACACTAGAAGGGTCAAGAGCAGCTCGGTGCACATTGGTGTCTCTGCAAGGGGTAAGGGTCCGATGAAGGGTCTCACCACGACACCACTAGAATCGAGTACTTGTGAATGGGCAGAGCTAGGTGAGGAACAAGCCTTCTCTTGTCACTTCGTCAAGAGGCCGCTCTCATGACTTGAACCCGTGGCTTCTAAGTCACACAGCAACACCGTAACCTAGGAAAGTGATGTTATCACGTAAGTACATTACTGTGAAAATAACCTGAAACGGGGGAATGTGAGATTACGCTGTTTATAACCTAACTTGAACCCAACTAGGATTGATGACATCATCATATAACTAGGTTATACTCCGTATGATATAAGGGGTACTATAACAGTCAAAGTGGAATATTTATTTTGTGACGAATGGAGTACTATATTTGGGTTGTTTTGTCCAATCCCCCGTTCTCCTAATAATTTATCTTGCACTTGTTTTGTAAAGGGGAAAGATGCAAATATATTTTGACCTTTAGCTCCATGTGTATGTATGTCCCTAATCTTTTGAAGGGACAAAAATGTCCCTAAAGTTCATGTTTGGGAGAAAATCTACCCTTATTAATTTTAAATAAATAAAAATATATATTTAAAAATTTCAAGAAAAATAATAAATATATTGAGTTTGGAGATTGTAAAATGAAAAAAATAAAAAATCCATTGTGTGTTCAATGCTTCCTTTTCATATTTTTATATCACTTTAATATTGTTAACATAAAAGAAATATTTTAAAATTTTAACAAATAATTATGCCTTTTGAATTGATTTAAAAAAAATGTGTTGAAAATTTTATAATTTAAAAAACATTTTGTGCTAATTGCTTTCTTTAATCTTAATAATATTAATTTTTTATATAAATGTTAATAAGGAAGCATTGAACACAATTTTTTTTTTAATTTTTTTTATTTTTGAAACCCAATATATTCATTAATTTATTTTTTGTTTTGTTTTTTTAATTTTTGTAATTCATTTAAAGTCAATAAGGGTACATTGCTCCCAAATATAAACTTTAAGGATATTGTTGTACATTTTTAAACCTTTGGGGCATACATGCACTTGAAGGTAAGCACGAAGGGTATATTTGTACCCTTTTTAACTGACAAATGGAATATGACTTTAAAAAGACGTGGAATTTAGACGTATTTTCAACTCATTTTGCCTTCAAATGAATTCCAATGAGTGGCTTATGAAATTCTTCATCAAGCTTTCTAAATAAGGATGACAATGGGGGTGGGGCCCGTGGGGAACCGTGGAGGGTGGGGTTTGGGACGGGGATGGGTGAAATATTTATATCCCGCTAAAAATTGGGTCGGGCGTCGGGGGATGAGGATTGCTACACCATATATGGGCCGGGGATGGGGATTGCCCCGTCCACGCCCCGTCCCCGTTATATATATATATATACAAACATACATACATATATAAGTATAATGTATAACCTTATTTAAGTAAATTATGGAGTATGTAGTATATAACAAACACATACTATAACAAACACATACATATACATATAGACATATATAAATGTATATATGTGAGTAAGTGTGTATTTTTTTTTTTTTTTGAAGGAATGAGTAAGTGTGTATTAGTCATGGTTAATGAATCAATACATATTATATCATAATAATAATAACTAAAAATACTTGTCACAAATGTTATATGAGTTTTAAAAATGAGAAAATGAGTAAATAGAACACATATGCATATTTAAGCATAATATACTCCGTATATAATTAATTGTATTATAATTGATAAGAATTTTGTTTACTTATATTTTTAATTAAAAAAAACTTATACGGAGTATTTTTAATTTTTTTTATTCAAATTAAAGAATTATTAAAAATTGGTGGAATTAACTTTTATCAAAGACAATATTTTTTTTTTTTTGAGGAAATCAAAGACAATATTATCTAGCTTACCTCTTTTAGTACTATATATATATATATATATATATATATATATATAGAGGAATGTTCAGGTCCGAACATTCCCCGTCCGAGCACCGTCCGAACATGGACGTTTGGGCCACTTCCTGGTGGAATTTTTTGATGAAATTTTTTGAGCATGTTCCTCATCAAGTCTAGTTTCTCCATACCAAATTTCACTCAAAATTCTATCGGGAAGGCATTCAAATCATTTTTTGAAGTTGACTGCGTCAAAATGTACATATAAAAACGCAGTCAACTTCAAAAAATGATTTGAATGTCTTCCCGATCGAATTTTGAGCTGAAATTTGGTATGAACAAACTAGACTTGATGAGGAACATGCTAAAAAAATTTCATCAAAAAATTCAACCGGGAAGGACCCCAAACGAGGATGTTCGGACGGAGGGTCCTGTCCGAACGTTCGGACAGGATCATTCTTGTATATATATATATATATATATATATATATATATTTATATTGACTTATAAAATGGGTTAAAAAATATGCATATAAGATAAATAAAATCTATATGTGGGCACCCATGGGGGACAACGAGATGGGGCGGGTCTGGGACTAGCGGGGGATAGGGTGGGGGATGGGGGAAACATTTTAGACATGGGGCGGGGGTGTGGGAGCGAACCCCGCCCCGTTGCCATCCCAATTTCTAAATCACCCTCTCTTCCTTGCCTTACCCCAACAACTTGAAATGATATGTGACGACCATTTCTGCAGGATTTTATTGTGAACAATGTTAGGAAAACGCTTTATCATTGCATTTCGTCATTCAGTGGAAACCTAGATGAAGAAAACAGCTTATTACATCTCATCGAAGTTGAGTATGCAAATCTGGCGGAAGCTTTCCATTTGTCCTCAGAAGCAGTAGATGATTTACCCAAGGTTGCTTCTAAATTACTCAACTTATACCGGACAGGAAGGCTTGGTCATTATTCCGTAGACTCTGTTCCAAGCAAACACTGGTAGCGGCATTGAACAACTGAACATGGAGGTGCGACAGTTGGCTGTATCTGTGCGCCAGTGGTTGATTTACAAATTACAATTGCTATGTTTATCTTGTTTTTAGAAATATGTAAGTAAAACTAATTTTTTATGTATTTTGCATGTAATAAGTGTAACTAATCCTTGCAAAGTGTAACTAATAGTGGCAAGACCATGGCTAAATGAAAGTATGAAATTGTTACATACATAAAAATAGCAATTATGTGTCATGGCCCAAACATTGTTACTACATAGAGTACTATTGTATGACAACTTTTCATGTCCAGCCGGTCTGACGGGAACCGCCGTCCGGCCGAGGGCATTTCGGGCACTTCCCTGTGGAATTTTTGATGAATTTTTTTGAGCATGTTCTTCATGAAGTCTAGTTTATCCATACCAAATTTCAGCTAAAAATTCAATTGGGAAGGCAGTCAAATAATTTGTTGAAGTTAACTGGGCAGTTCATACATATAAATTGCGCAGTTAACTTCAACAAATTATTTGACTGCCTTCCCGATTGAATTTTTAGCTGAAATGTGGTATGGATAAACTAGACTTCATGAAGAATATGCTCAAAAAATTTCATCAAAAAATTCCACCGGGAAGTGCCCGAAATGCCCTCGGCCGGACGGCGGTTCCCGTCAGGCCGGCTGGACAGGAAGACTACTCACTTTGTATTATGTAATGAAACATTAGTACAGAGTATAGTTTTAGTGGGGCACTGTGTACTTGGAAGCTTACAGCCTATACGATAAGCAAGTGAATGGGCCGGGTGTATTAAACCATTTTTTCGCCTATAAAGTAGGGATGGACTCGGCCCGGAACCGGACCAACCCGCTACTGTGCGGGATCGGCCCGGTGAATCAGTTAGTGCCCGGTTCGGGCCACCCGGCCCGGTGGGCTTCAGTTCCGGGCTCGGGCCCTCCATTTGGTGAACCGGTTCGGGCCCGGTCCAGGCCGAATTCAATTTTTTTTTTTTGAATTTTTTTTTCAAGTTTTTGGGTTGGGCTGGGTATTTTGGGCCATTTGAGGTGGTTTGGGAGTGAGGGGGGTGGGTTGGGGGTTAAATAGGAGAAGCCAAAAAAAAAATTACAAACCGGGCGGCCCGGAACCGGAACCGGACCCGGAACCGGTGGCTACCGGTTCGGGCTCGGGCCCAACAAAACAGAACCGCGAACCGGCCGGGCCCGAACCGGAACCGGTCCACCCCTACTATAAAGTATAAACTCTCTAAAAAGGGGGTGGGGCGGGTAATTTGTTTGTACCTTATTGTGATAGCTCTCTTGATATATGCCTTATTGTAGCTTTGTAACTAGTGGAAAGCACCTTGTTGTCCCACTTCCGGGCCGAGACTGGCCGGGACCGGACCGGTTGACTGGGACCAGGCATGGGCCTATGACCCGGACCGAGGGGAGTTTGGGGGCGGGCTCAGGCAGCAGCCCACTTGGTACTGGCCCGGGACCGGTCCGGGCCCAATTTATTATTATTTTTGGGTTTTTGGAATGGTTTGGGTAAGAGCCGGGTTGAGTTGGGTGGTTTGGGGGTGTTTGGGATGGGGGTGGGGGGTAAGAATAAATAAGAAAAACAAAAAAAATACCGGCCTGGTCCCGTAACATAGCCGGTTCGGTTCCGAGCCTCCATTTCTCAGACCCGGGCCCACCCTAAGCCCGATCCGGGACCGGTCCATCACTAGGTATAGGCTTGAACGTGAGTTCAAGCAAACCTAATCTATTGGACGAGACTCTTGCAAAATGGATAATAACTACTCGATCAAGTTTGAAGGTTTCGATAAGAGGTAAGTACATTATTACTAGGTATGGGCTTGAATGTGAGTTTGCAGGTTGTCCTACACTCCCACCACATCAAAAGAGTTTGACCCAAAGGGTCGAAGGGGGTTGAGCACAGATTGTTGCTAGCTGCCTTCACTCAATGTAGGGTAGCTAGCTGATGGATAGTGTACCCGAGGGGTAGCTTATCCGAGAGGTTATTGTGAGAATAACCTAGAGAGAAGTCAGAGCAAACAAGTAGGAGAGAGAGGCGATTGTATTAATGAACTCGAGATGTTCTGGTCCTTTACAATGGGAAAAGGGGGTGCTATTTATAGCAGCAATAAATGCGATGAGAGTACACGTGTCAGCAATCTAACGGCCGAGGGGTCACCTCAATCGGGTGGCACTGGCATTCGCATGTGCACCGCATTGAATGCAGTGGGTGGATGTGACGTCGTATTAAATGCGGTGGTTGCTTGTCTCCAAAGGGAATCTTCGATGATTGAGTTGGTGTCCGAGGGCTCCCCCTGCGGCCGAGGGCCCTGTGTAGCCGAGGGCGCCGTACAGCCGAAGGCTTCCTAGACGCCGAAGGCACCAAAGTGCCGAAGGCTCTTGTTTTCTGCCATTTTCTCCCAGTAACTTTGCATACTCAAATCTGGCTGCCTTGTGTAATTTGGAGCCCTCGGCCAAGGAGGCGGAAGGCACCTCTATGTGTATTGTGGGCTTCTTGACACTTGGGCCGCTGTATTTGGGCCCTCGATGTGTATTGGGCTCATTGGGCCTGTGTAGGAGAAGTAGGAATTTGTGGGCCGGGGGTCCCTGGGCCATATACTCCATCACTAGCAATTCTTGTGTGATGACTGTGGCTAATTTATAGCCCTCAAATCAGAGAAGAAGAAAAAAGCAAATCTGCATAGATCACATGTTTTTAAAAAGGCGTGCCTCTTATTCTCCGGTTGCGCATTGATTTGAAATGGTTCCAAACATAGCATGAGACTCCTTTTTTCAATGCCCTTGGAACACCACAAGCATGTTGAGCGTCAAGAATAAAATAAAAGTTCCTTTCACCCTATTAGGGTGATACAAAAGTGAGATAGACTGTCTCATGTCAAGGTATATAGTATTGAATGATTGGTAGACTAAAAATGGGATGTTTTCCCAAATATAATTCACATAATAAAATTTATAAACCTAATTTTTATATGTTTCTGGGCTTTTGAGATCTTTTGTTGAGTAATTTTATATCCACAACCCCCAAATTCTATAATTTCTCTCTTACCCTTGCTTTATTTGGTACTGTATCTTCTACGTTAAATATTAAATTTGGGGAAATACCCGAAGAGACTCATATAATAGCAAAAGTAGTTATCAAGCTGCCTTACCTAATTATCACCCAATCAACCATCCTAACTTTTAAAAAAAAAATACACAAATCAACTTAATGGATTGTAAATAATTGATTCCTGAGTAATTTTGCTTGTTTGGCGATTGACATGTCTGTATTCTCTATTTTATTCTGGTCAAAGTGTATTTTTCAATTTATTTTTATTACTCTCTCGTCTCGCTCTTTGGACACAGATAACTTTAGATTCGATGTCTCTCTCATTATATTCTTTACACTAAAAAATGAAAGCTGCATATACCATCGTTTATTCCCTATAGGGAAGAATGCCGACTTCCTTGTCATCATCAATGACACTAGAAAAGGATATACTTGCTAGTTGCCACTCAACTCCAGCTGATAGACATTTTTATTAAAAGTTTATTTCCACTTGAATTTATTTTTCGTTGAGAATATTCATAGTTCATTTTGGTTATTCAAACTCATCTGAAACTGATCCGAACTGGCGCTTGCATCAGAAATACGGATCCAACCTCGTGTCAAACACATTCTACAGTTTGATCGGGTTGCATTCAGACGATGGAGATGAAGTGAACTCTAGACCAGCACAGGGAGAAGGATGAGAGAGCGACGACAGTGGTGGGGAAGATAACACCATAAAACAGAGTCCTTAAGGACAGTAATTTCTGAACCCTTACTCCTTATGTCTTTAATGTTGTATGGACTTATGATGATTGAGGGGGTGCTGTCTTAGCCTTGCATGACGATCGAACGATTTGGCTTGTTGTTTGATTAATGATGATTTAAGGGTTTTGATTCACCTATGATGGGTGTTTGTGTTTAGGAATAAACCCCTTTTGGCTTTATGAATGTACGTTGTGCTTGCTTAAGTTGGATATGCGTAATGTTAGCCTAGGATATGTAACCTTTGATCATGATTATCCATGTTTTCCTATGTTAAAATACATGTGATGAAAATGTGATCACTCTGTATTGATTTTGAGGTGTGTTAGCCTAGGATATGTAACATGTGCTCATGATAGTCTGTGTTTGCCCATGTTAAGTCGCATGTGATGAATCTGTAATGATTCTGAGGTGTGGTCTCCTAACATATGTATCAAGTCAGCGGCGGACGCAAGAATTACGGTTAGGAGGGGCGGTAGGGTAAAAGTATACGTACAAATACATATATATTAAAATTTCGGGGTAAATATACCTAGGAAAATAAAATTTTGGGGGGGACAGCAGCCCCTATTTGCCCCCATGTTCGGTCCGCCACTGTATCAAGTGGTCCTCCTTATGTGTGTTTGCATATGCAAAGTGAACTGTGATGAAAATGTGTTGACTCTGTATTCTTCTGAGGTTTGGTTGCTTGGGATGTCACGCCTAAGACCGCATCCAAGCGCGTGTACAACTGCCGCACTATCAAGTGACGTCACCCGCAAGTCAACCTCACTTAATTATACAATGCGTCCATGAACATAGTTCATATCATACTCAGTAAGTAAACATGCATAACAACATCACATTTAAATCAATGAATAGCTTAAATATTCAACGGTAATTCATGAGCCACATCCGGCCAAAACATGGGCTCGCAGGCCCAAAACAATTTATAGAAATCCAAATAGTCATGAGCAATGTTTATAATTTTAAAATAATAAGGAAGCACGAACCACGTCTTCCTTGATATGACTTCATCCGATTTCAAAGGCGCAGGTAGCAAGCTCTAGCTTCAACCTGGAAATGGTAGGGGCCCTGGAGGCATACTATAAGTAGAATAACTAATGTTACAAGTATAAGACCCAAACATAGGGTAATACATATACTTATATTTTTTTCCCAAATCTTGAAATACATATAAGTATATACACTTGGAAAATACCCGACCCGTAGGTCATTGTTTACTTCGGAAAATAATAGTAGTCATAGTCTTTGACTTAAAATCCCAAACCCACCCAGATACCTATGAATGTATAGGGCCCCTCCTTGTCCATTCAAGTATTTTGAGTACACCGCCTGGTCCTCAATTACTAAACCGTAATCTATTAGTTTTGAGGACAGTCCAGTCCCTAGATACTCCACCAATTATATTCCGAGTTTTGAGGACAGTTTAGTCCCTGGGTACTCCACCAATTATATTCCGAGTTTTGAGGAAAGTCCAGTCCCTTGATACTCCACCAATTATATTCTGAGTTTTGAGGACAGTCCAGTCCCAGGGTACTCCACCATTTCCTATGATTTACCACATGTCATGCATAGATAGGGTCTATATCATAATCAATAATCAAGTCTAACCCAAGCCTTATAGCCTAAGCACAACCATCCATGCAAATAAATCATGTTGGGCAAAAACAGGACCAAACTGGCGCCGGTTCAACCTATAATTGACTCTGGTTCACCATTTAATTAATTAAATGGTGAATCCCGTACTCAAACCGGGGCTGGTTCTATCCCTAACTAACGTCGGTTGCCTGTCTAGCAATCGGTCAACGCTCCGTTGACCTGCCATTTCAAATCCAATTTTTATGGACTGATACACACCAATTCAATCTTTAACTTTCCTTTTCAATTGTTGCTTGTGAACATTTGTCATACACTCCTAATCTTTCCGTTACCATTGGCAAGAGAGACCCTAAGCATGCCCGTGTTGTGCATATTGATTTTGGTGATGACGCCGGGAGCGGCATGGAAGGGGTGGAGCATGGGAGTGAATTGGGGGACCATGACCTCACACCAATTTGCCGCCCCACAGTGTGGTGAAGGCTATGAAAGAAAACGGTTCAACAAGGTGAAGCTGTTTGAGGCAGATGCACAGATCACGGATGACGGATGCACTCACTGGCTCCGACATTGAAGTCATGCTCGCAGTCTCCAAATTCTTATTAGAGGAGATGAGCACGTGAATTGGAGGACTTCCTGTAACTTTTAATTGAGGTATTAATGTCAATGCATTTAAATTTAAATTAGGTCTTACGAGTTTCAACAGTGTTATTTTTGTAAATCTGGTATGATTTGGTACTATTTGTAACATTTTCCTTTTTTTGAATATGTAAAGAGAAAGTCAAAACAAAAAATTTCACTGTCAAGCTAAGATCGGGAAGTATATGATTAGACATTTATATATTTACAGAAATTCCACTACCTGTGTAACTGTCAACATATGGCACGCCATTTTTTAAATATTCCGGTCGATACAAACTTCATGCAAAACTGATATCAATTCAATAATCGAGAGCCTCTGTACACTAGACATTGGTAGTAGTTGTGCGATCTATTCTTAATTTTTAGTAATTACTAGGTCAAAAATTTTCTTTGTGGAAATCAAACTTGGTGGATGTCTTCCGAGAAAAATCCAAGGCTAGTTGTCTTAGCTCTTTTGTCAGTGCTGGTGCCCCACAATAGAAAACCCCTGCACAAACAGATAAGCCAAAGTGCGCAAACCAAAGAGTTCTAATTAGTCGATGTAAAATTTATACCTTAACCTTGACTACGACTTCTAAGCGTGAAAAATTTATAAAGAACCAAAAATGGCAAATCTTGGTGGGAGGTCTTATGAAAGCATAGAAAGATCTGAAAAATTATAACTCACCAACTTTGCCATTGGTGTGATTGAGGGTAATACGTTTGTATACGTTGCGCCAGTTAGGCTTGGCAAAATGAGACTTAACGTGCGTCCCAGAAACGATGTCGACACCACTCTTGGCATGGTGGAGGGACTGAAGCATAGTGATGAGGGCGGAACGCGCGTCGCCTTCTTCATATACACTGGTGCAATAGTTGTGCATCTCTATGACTCCCTTATGGTCCATCTCAGCCACTTCATTCATGATCCCTTTGAACCAGTCAAATGACCCTTGCTCCCTCGTTACCCAATAGAAGTATGCCTTTCTTGTCTTAAAGTTTCTTCCTCCATTGTTGCTGCCAACTCCATGCCCATTCTCCACCCCACTCTCTTCTTCCTCCATTGCCTGCATGTTGTTCACAATGTCCTTCACGATGCTGATCATTGGGGTTGCTCCTATTCCTAGGCCTACTAGCAGAACCACATCATATTTCTTGTAGTCTTGTGCTGGTGCTCCATACGGTCCATCAATCTCCACTTTCGGGAAACTGCCATTTTTAATTAAGTAGCTACCCATTAATATAATATCTTCAACTTTCAAGTGATTCTTTTTTGGACTAGATATTGATCACATGTTTGATAGTCATTTCTACATTTAGTCCTTGTTACAATAGTAAGATGGTTAAAAGTGTAAAGAATTAAAAAAAAGGTGCCACGGTGTTAAATAACACAATAGTCATAGGGCTAGTGGAAAAAAGCGGTGTACATATGTCCGAAGGTATGGTTTGATCATCATTTCCATCTGGCCCATCTTAATCCCAATAATTAGCATCAGGTGACAAGAGATTTAGTGTGAACTGTGAAGTAATTGTCTAACATTATAGTGCCAACTAATTGTCAAACATAGGTAAAGAGATTATCAAGGAATAAAGAGAAGAAATTCCAAAACAGTAATAATCAGAGGCATTATCCCACTTGTATGGGAAATAGCATTAAACCACATAGAAGTTTGCTTTCAAGAATGATAAAAGGACCCTTACTTGGGAATGTTATTCCCTTGCAGAAAATCTGCTCTTAGGAGTCCACTTTTCCCATTAGGTGGTGGCTGGCATACCTAGACAAACAAATGCAACACGATAATTGAAGACATCATCAAGATAGCTTTGCTGATTGTGTTCGATGGTGGTGAATGTAAAATTTTATATTTATTAAATATTTGTGTGTTTTAAAGAGGTAAAGGATACAATATTTACCTCTGAGAAAACAGTTTTGAGCTGTCTTGTCCAATCACCAAGCGTTCTAATGTGGACACTAACATAGTCATCTCCTGGGGCAGATGTAATTGAAAAGGGGTGCCTGTAATGTGAACACGGATCACCAAAACATTAAGAAAAATTCAAACTAATGGGAGACATTAATTTATGGAAAGAAAGAAAGAAAAGAGAATTAATGAGTACAAAACTGATGTTTTACAGGGGCAGCCCTCACCATTCAAAAGGAGAAACTGCAGAGCAGTTGACAAACATGTATTGACCACTTTTGTATCTGAAGCCCTGAGGCTTTGACATATGAAGCGCTAAAACATTTCCAGGATAGACAGCCACCTTCACATTTTGCAGGATCAATCAAACATGGAAAATAATTAATAACATTCTAGAATTAATTAATTCTTCCATCCCACAAAGATTGGTCGCATTTACCTTTTTTGTTAAAAGGCTTCTATTTAGCCAATATATTCAATCGATACATTTTAGTGAAAACTATAAAATTTGTACTTTTATGAAAGCACTCGTAACATTTTTAAACTACCTTCACGTTAGAATTCATTTTGAGTCAATCATGTGTCAAAGTTAAACATCATTGACCAAAAAGTCAAATGTGGCCTGCCTTTGTGGAATGGATGAAGTACAAATAAATAAAGATGATAAAATTAACGCAATTATTACCTTGAGAATCTTGACAGGCTTAACACTAGACCTCAATGCCCTAAGCAATCTTTCAGAAGCATAAACTACCACAGGAATAGCCAAGTACATCCATGTCTGCAATTCACCAATTCACTAAATCTTCAATGAAAATATCCCATGTCAAATTTATATTTACAGCACACAAGAAAATGTATTGGATACTAACCGTTTTCATGTACCACTTATGTGTCAAATAGAGCTTGATACCATGGACAATGAGGAGAGCATAGACAATCACAAAGAGATGGTGGGAATACCAAAAGGCATTGAAACCAGTAATCTTGTTAAAGGGTTTTGGCAAGGTCACTCTATTCCTTCTAAACCATGGAGTAGCCAGGGTGAAAGCTATAGCCATCAACACCACTATAATAATCCCTGTCACCCCTTCAACTCCCTTCACAAACCACCAGTAGTCTTGTGGCTGATGCCCAAAAAACTGCTCCATTGGAGCGTACTTTTCCCGGCTAGCATGCAGAAGCCTAGGGAAGTCACACATCAAGTGAGCTATTGCATGTATTCCTACCCCAATCGCAACAGCCACTGCTATCACCTAAAGAAACGTAACGTATTGTCACTGCGATACACCATTACAAGAGTTTACCATCACAATTAGAGAACGTCTACTCATTATTATATGAATACTCGTCTGTTAATCTGAAATAACCTTGCAGTCAAGACAAAACATATAAGAGAGAAGGGTTAATTTTTATTTAAAAGTTATCTCTATTTATTAGGTTAAGATTAGAAATAATCATATCATTAATTAGATAATGTATTTATATATTGCTTTTCTTTACTTTATTTCAAAGCATATGGATCTGTTCTGTTTGTCTCCCTTTTTGTCTAGTTATTATTTTTAACTCCGATATCATATTCCAATTCATATTACCGGACTCCGAACTCTTTCGGAACTAAGGCTTGGATGTTGTTTATTTCAAACCATATAAATGTAAAATAATTTAAAAAACAAATATTATCTCCCCCATTCCTCCCAAGTCCCAACCCGTGAAATCCCCGAAAAAGAAAGCCAGTAAGGTTCTAAAGTGTGACTCAAACATGTCTCCCACAAGCCCAAAATCACTAGAAAACAAATGTAAATGGTGGTCTCCACACCAGACAACTTGGGCTCTCATAGTGTATTACAACAACAACAACATCCAAGCCTTAATCCCAAAAGATTTTGGGGTCGGCTAAAATGAATTGATCCATGATACATTAAGTCATTAAATTTTAGTTAAAACTTATAATCTGAGGGCTGAGTCATTAATCAAATGACTTATATGTCAAATTTGTTTTGAAGTCGAATGACTTGGCAATCAGGGGAACAAGTATCGGAACTTGGATCACTTACTTTATGAAAGTTGAGGTTGTCATCAAAAGGGACCGCAATGCCTAACTTGGTCTTGTTTCTGAGCCAGGTAATGGTGTTTCTACAGACAGGTAAAAGAATGATAGCCATGTTCAGCTTAAGTGTTTCGGCAGCACCTTTAGCCATACAAACACAGGCACCCATAACATCATAAGCAGCTTTGTTCTTATACTGAATGTATTTCCAAGCAAACAGCCCACCCATGGCTCCGATCCACAGTAGAAGCACCCAACCTCTCTGCCAATTGTCCAACAGGAAGTACTTGAAATCTCTGTACCATCGGATCAGAGGGTTCAGCTCCACCGTCGGCTTCAGTTTTTGGCTCAGCATTTGGCTCAAATTGCGGCTCTCATGCCCCCTTACTGTCTGGCTTGGAGCTTGCAATAACAGCATCTCCAAATTCTCAATCTGTCGCACATGTAATCAGATTAATAGAACTCTGATCAGATTAGGTCATTCAACTTGATCATAATACACTTGGCTAAATTACACTTGAGGATTGAATATAGTCTATTAGTTAGTTCAACCCAAGAACTTATATACTATTAAGACTTGAATAGCTCAAGATCTTACAACTTAGCTTGCTATTTAATATTAAGCCAAACATGGGACAAACTCTTTACCACTTCTCGCGACTACACACTTATTCTAATCGTGCAACGCATTATTCTTCTCGTCACATAGAAGCACACACCCCTCATCCCAACATACCGTCTGGATTGTGCAATTTTTAAAGTGGCACATATCTTTAGGTTCAACATCCGACACCAAGTAGAGACCACGCAATTTTTAATGGGAGCCCACATACAATATGGATCCAGTTGACATTCGATGTGGCCATGTGGGACAACTAACATAATAAGTTTCTTTAATATTTGTTAGAGACTCTAACGCACATATTAATTGTTCACTAATTGAAGACTCAAATATGAGTTTATAGAAATATTGTGACACTAACTTATAGCTCGTATGTACCTTGATGTATCCTAGGTTGCTAGGATCTAGTTCCTCCATAATCATGGCCGCGTATTCATCTGCTTGTTTTTGGATATTTGACAGCTTGTTTGCAGAAGCACTTAGGCTTATGATCTGCACAATAAAAAATGGCCACATCATTCATACAAACCTAATAATTTAGAGATAAATCTCAAAACTAAAATGATTAGCTAAAATACTAGTAACAGGCTAACAGCAAGTAATATAGATAGACTCTACCTCTCTGACTTCTTCTTCAGTGATTGCCCCGTCTGCATCTTTGTCAACCCTACAATTACATGCCCATTAGTTAGGACTTAGGAATGCTCTATGATCATCATCCTAACATTAATCCTAACTATACTATGATCTTACATATCAAAGAAGGTTTGAAGGCGGGTGTCGAAACTCTGATCAGAGATTTGGTCCCAGAATTCTTGGAGCTGTATCTTGTTGATGGAATCAAAGGTTATGTTTCTCCTCCTAGCTAGTGCATCGAATAGCTCGTCAGCAAATTCCTTTGACTCCTTGTTCATACCTAATTAATTATCACCAAGTTCCACAAACCATTCGTCTAGTTGTTAGCCAAACCATGATCTCAAGAAAATATGAACAATTCTACAGAAAATTAATTACCTATGCATTCACCAAACTTTGCCCGCGGGAGCAACCCACTAGTGGAGGCAGTTAGCTGGTCAAACCGCTTCTCGACTGCGGCCCAGCCAGAGGCTCCGTCCGTCTTGCTGATGAACTTGAGCCCTTTCAGAGCCTGAGCAGCGGCGGACTTATTCCGGTCAATCCTGCCGGCGCCGTGATGGGTCCGCGTCGTGAGTGAAGCAAAACGCTTCAGCTCTTGCGACACCTGCCGTATTCGAGAAGAAGCGTTTCGAACCACGGAGGATCCCAAGTTGGTCTTCTTCTCCAAGCCCCTTGCCAGCAGAGCAAGCTCCGGGTCCTCCACGTCAGCGCCGGCGGCTGTCTTGACGCTGTGGACGGCAACAGAGTCCTCGCGGACGTCGAGGGTGATCTCTACGTAGGAGTCCTCATTTGAGGGTTTGGCCGGCGGGATCCCCAACTCCGCCGAGCTAGAGTCTCCGGCGAGGTTGAGCCGGGCGCTCCTTTTGCCGGCCCTTTGATTCAGTGGGCCGCTGAACATCTTCCTATCAGCTCCGATGACTTCCGTGTCCGAGTGGTGGTGGTATGGGTGGCTCTGGTGATCGGAGTTTGACATTTCCAAGTTCCAACTCCTTTTCTTCTTTCCTCTTTAGTCTTTTTGTTGAACTTGTTTTGAAAGAGGCCTCACAGAGTCATCTCATTTACTACTCGTCGTTAATGATAAAATTATTAAAATTGAGTGTGTTGCATCCATATGTATGTATATGTATATCGAGAGAGACAAAGTAGTACACTTCACTACTCTTGGATATGATTAGGTACACTCCCATTTTCTGTTTTGGAATTTAGATTGTTTAATTACCATAGTTTTGGTAAAAAAAAATCCGATAGTTAGGTCAAAATAGATAAAAAATGAAATTTTATGGTAACTTTGAAATTCTAGTAAAAAAATAGTTACTATGAAATTAATGGTTAAAAATTACTCCCTCCGTCCCAAGGAGAAGTTCCCGGGTTGACTTTCACACATATTAAGGAAATAAAGTTACTGAGGGGTAAATTTTACTGGCACTGTTTCGACACTGTTTGGCACTGTTTCGACACTGTTTGACACTGTTTTGCATTGTTTGGCACTGTTTTGATATAGGATAACTTTCCATTTAGAGAAATGAGAACTTTTTGTTGGGACTGCAAAAAAAGGAAAGTGAGAACTTGTCACTGGACGGAGGTAGTACATTGTAAGTAATCAATAGTTCGATAAGGTGAAATCTCAAAAAGAGTTCACATCTTCGAATCATATTTCAATTTAATAATATTAGTTTTAACATAGAACACATAGTGGGCATGTTTGGCATTGAGCGAATAGCGGTTAGCGGATAGCGGATTATGTTAGCGGGTTATCAATAACGGATTCGGTCAGCGGGTTTGACTAGCGGAATAAATTGGCAGGTTGTCAAAAGATGTTTGTTAATTTAGCTATTTGGTTATAAAATTAGTAGAAAACGTCATTTTTCAAAATTGTCAAACCAAAACTCTTTATTAGCAGCGTTTTTATTTTGGCGTTTTCGTCCAAAAACGCTAAAAGTGGTCAAACCACCATTTTTGGCTGAAACGCCGTACCAAACACCCCCATTATGAAATGTCAATGAACTTGACCAAAAAAATTGAACTAATATTTGAATGTTGAAGATAAATAAATTTTTGTTGTTAAATCTTTTTTTCTTCATGTACGTGGAAGAAGACGAGTATTGCGGGAGAATTTGCAAATAGAAAAGCCACTATATTTGAAGATTAACTGGCGCTTTGACCTGAAGAGGATGGATGGTAATTGAATCTTTCTTCTTTTTGTGGATTGTTTAATCCGGTTCCTAGCCGTCAATTATTCAGGGGCATACACAATTCAAGACCACGGTTTTCCTCCATGCTAACACATGTTTCTAATGCCCCATTGACTCTTGTAATTGATTGATTGATTTCGTTAAAATAGTTATCAGCCTATCATATAAAGTATCACATATTATGAATTGAGAATCAAAAAGAATTTCATTCATTCACATATAGCCATATACGGGAGATAGGGTTACATTCATGATCATGGACCAATACATGTAGGCCTACGATTTAATGGACATCAACATAATTACATAATACTCCTCATTGGATGTACATTTCTAAATAAAACATTATAAGAAAAATATGCATTAATCTCTTTATACACAACAGTAATGTTGTCTCGTTAAAACCTTGTCGAGGAAAATCCAGTGGGACAAAACCTTAGTCAAGGGAAAATGAGTGCAGCGCGTTAATTCAGGACTTCTTGTTGAATCCAATTTGATCCAATCTGGTTACAAGCTTCTCGAATGAAAGATTATACGATGTGTCGCATAGACTGCCCCATTAAAAACCTTTAACTAAGAAAATCATGTGGGGAAAACTTAGTAAAGGAAAAGAGTACAGTTATTGGCCTTCGGGACCTAATCTTCTTGATTGCATTTGAATTTACTCTTCTAGAGAAAAATAATATGTTATTCAAAGTGACAAACTGCCTCGTTAAAACCTTTGACCAAAAAAAACCTATGGGACAAAACTTGGTTAAGGAAAAAGAGTACAGTTGCATATGGTCTTCCAGACCAATAAATTGTTCGATCTCACAAGGACCAATTCAAACCTTCAGGGTACCGTCTTCCGAAGTAATATTAGAATCACTCTTCTTGAGGACACTCGTCTTTTGGATGTTATGAATCTTTCTCATTCATTAAAACCACAAAATACCTTAAAACCTTTGGCCAAGAAAACCCTTTGGGAAAAAACTTGGCTAAGAAAAAGGAATAGCACATGGTCTTCTGATGTGCTAAGAAAAAGGAATAGCACATGTTTCCATATTATTTCAAAATTGTCAAACCAAAATTGTGCACATATTTCTTTTCACCATTGTCCTTCAGGGACACACAATTGATATTATAACAATGGCATCTGATTCTTTCATTAACTGCCACATTTACAGAACTTCAAACTATAACAGGAATGTAATCTCAAAATCATTCAATCTCAAGTATTGACACCCCACGTGCACAATATCTTGATTTATGGGACTTCAGGCCCAATATAAAATATTTTCTCATCCATAAACATCGATCATAATTCACATAATTTTAGGACTGCAGGTCCATCATATTTCATCTGGCCAGACTTCATTATTATGGATTATGAATCGATAGTCTTGGAAAAATAAATCATTGACGTCAATATAATAACTCTGATTCATGTTTCATCAAAGTCCTCTATATGAGCCATAAAAGAGGAATTCACGTTTTGTATCATTAAATTTCCAACTGTAGCATTTAACTCATATCATTCTCTTGTAGTGACTTACTGTAATAAAAACCGATTTTATTTTATATACACATAATGACCGTCTAACCATGCTTCATGCATTGGTTGAGCTCAAACTTTATTATCATTTCTCTTTCAGTCACTTTGGCAGTTTACTTATTATATTTTACACGTTTCTCTTTTCATATCATTCAATCCTTCTGGGATATTTTTCCGACATTCCAAAATATAATTATGCTTATGCCTTTATATCTCCCCCTAATGTTGGAAATTGTGTCATACTAATGTTTTTGAACAAGGATTTATGTGCATATATATGGAGCCACTTCTGGGGCCCAATTGCATCGTTTCTATAGTGGGGTTTCAATATTGGCACACCTTGGTTCATTTAAACGTGTAAACTTTTGGGGTTTAGTTATTAACAAATGCCGAATTAATATAAACTACATTTTCTTCATATACTCGGGCAACTTTCTAGCAATTTATCTCACACAAAACATTCATCTTATAATGCTAGATATATATATTTTGTGGGTTACTTTATGCTCTTCACTATATTTCTTCGAAGCCGGCAAAGTGGACTTATACCACTCATTACATGTAGGCATTTCAAGAGAACATATCTTGAGACCAAATTTAATATTACTAACCCACATTATTGTGAAACTTCAAGTTCACTTAACTCCCATGGATCCATTTTTAAAATATTGGGAGAATAGACGGTCTTGCCATTTTCTTATCTAAGAAGTATTTATATACTGGATGTGTTATATGGCATTTGGTTTAAACCTGGGTTGACCTTAAATTGGCCATTTATTCAAAAATCTTAAACTTCATGCAACACATGTTTAAATTATTCAAGTATATATAGTATAGTATGAGGAGAATTCTGCTACAGGCACATATTATGGAAACACAATTTACACTGCGTTGGTATGGTCTCAAACTATCACCCAATAAGTATGATATCACTTTTCAAACTACTACTTCGCAGTGTTTGAGTAGCTTCTTTGAGCTGACACTCAATGCCTGAGATTTTGTCATTATTATTAATGTGCACAACTTGTTTATAAATATAATTTGTGCTTCCATTACTTTTTATCCTTACAATAGGATTAAATTTCTAATTTGTATGATTCTCTCAAGCTAGGGGTGCAAATGAGCCGAGCCGCTCGTGAGCCGCTCGGTCAAAGCTCGGATCGAGATTGGTCAAATTCGAGCTCGAGCCGGCTCGTTAAGCAGTCGAGCCATAATCGAGCTTACTGATTTTAGGCTCGCTAGCTCGCGATCCGGCTCACGAGCCGAGTTATATGTGTGTGTATTTAATTAATATATGTAATATATTAATATATTAATATAACATACAAATTAATATATAATACGGAGTATATATTACTCCGTAGTATATGTAATACTCCGTATATAATACTACGTATATATATATATATATATATATATATATATATATATATATAATACTGATTCATAAATGTATATGAGGACCGGGAAGATATTATTAATTATAAAGTAATTTAACAAAAATAATCAAAGTTTCATCCACTATTTCTTAATGGGTTGACCACTTTTGATTTATATTAGAAGTATAATTGGGTGGAGACTTGAAGTTAGAATTGTATTTTGTTTATTTTCCCGTAAGGTTTAGTTATTGGGCATGTAAATTGCAATTTGCAAATGTTAAGCACAAATATTTAAATAATGTTTCATACTTGAGCTCGAGTTCAAACACGAACTTTCGAGCTAATCGAACTTGTAACTTTTGAACAAACCAAAATTATCTAGCCGAGTCGAGCCAAATCGAGCCAAATCAATATTTGCGAGCCGAGCTCGAGCCCGGATTTTTTAAGCTCGTTGTAGCCGAGCTCAAGCTCGAGCCAATACAATATAATTTGAGCTCGAGCTCGAGCCTACATAAACTCAGGCTCGGCTCGGCTCGTTTGCACCCCTACTTCAGGCACTATATCCTTAAAATAGGATAAATATATAGTTAATTTGTAAGCATTTGTTTTGTGTCAGTTGTAATTGTTTTTTACTTCCATTTATAGTTGGAGAATAGTGGTAGAGTTTTTGGCAAGAAAAAGGAGAAAAAGTCAACAGGAATGCAGCCCAGGGAGATCCACCCGACCGGGTAGAAATCTTCACCCGGTCGGGTCTGATTTAAAAACCGAACCTCAGAGGAAAGAGCTGGACCCGGTCGGGTCAACTAATCCACCCGGTCGGGTCGGACTTGACCCGGGACATTTTAACGTGCTGTGACACAAGAACGTGGAAGATTATCTGATCTTGACATGCACCCGGTCGGGTGAGCACTTGACCCGGTCGGGTACCCGGCCCAAGGTGTTGAAAAACACCTATAAATAGCACATTTTTCCTTCACAAATAATCATCCCTTCTTC